TCCTTATAAACTGACTGAGCTACTCTTATATAAATTCTAATACAATAATATTTCATATCTCACTTCCAATTCTATTCACTCTCTATAGATCAATTTTCAATTTTTAAAACATTATTATAATATTTATAGTATTCTAAGAGATTTATAAGTAAATCTTTCAATTTTATTCACTTTTGATCTAGAAATACATGTTTTCTTGTTTTGAAGTATTATATAACTAGCTGAATTACATAATGTATTCTGAATTTAATTTTGATTGAATTTTTAAAATAATTATGACATTTAATAGAGAAATATCTAGAGTTATGAACTATCAAGTATCAATTTAATTACTTGCTTAGTTCATAAGTTATAGTTATTTGAATGTGCATCATCTCAATTGAATTTGCCGTCGTTGAGTGGTGGCCGTCGCTGAGTGGTAGAGTACGTTAACTATCTTGCACCTCGAGCTTTCTGGTCTTGTTGAAGGCAGGACTTGTTGACTGCTTGATGAACAATGGCCAAAAAGACCCGCAGCCTTCTCCATGGGGAGATCACATACTCATTCGCCAAAGATGAGGAAGTCAACATCCTCCATCGCCTAGGATATGTCAAGCAGCGCGCAAAGTTCTTCAATGTCTTGTACCGCAAGCGCGCCTGGATGAAAGCCATCGTTGCCCACCACCTTGGCGCATCTCCCAATGCTTGCTATGTGGCTGGCTCCCAGGACTGGATCTATGGCAGTTTCAATGTCTGTATTCCGGTCACTGTCTCGTCAAGCTGGAGGAGGAAAACGCAAAGACTGATGCTCCGGTTCCCCCTTCCATATCGTGTTGGTGACCACTTTTGCCCAGGAAATGGTGATGAGAAGCTTCGATGTGAAGCTGGGACCTATGCGTGGCTTCAGCAGAATGCCTCAGATGTGCCCATCCCACACATGTATGGGTTTGCTTTATCGACTGGCGAGACAGTATGTATCCCTCCCGTTTTGTTGATGACTTGGCTGATTTTTGAGCATTTTCAGTTCACCACAGCCACTTGCTTGTCATTCTGGAAGCGGTGGTTTTTTAAACTCCGGTGCTCCGTCCTGTCATTCCTTGGATGTCCGCTGCCTTCGCGCTACGTTCCCCATCGGCCACATAGTCAAGCCACGGATATCGGCTACCTTCTGATTGAGTACATCGACAACTCGGCCGGCCGGATGCTTTCTAATACTTGGAGTACAAAAAGGCATGACGACCGGTTACGTGGGAACCTCTTTCGCTCACTTTCTCAAATCCTGTTAAGCATCACACGAACCCCATTACCATGTATTGGATCATTCATAATTGATAATAATGGTTATCTACAACTCACCAACCGGCCACTATCACTTGAAATCCAGGCACTAGAGAATGAAAACATTCCAACTGACATGCCTCGCAATTACACTTACGCCACAGTCGACTCCTATATCCTTGATGTTCTGAGGATCCATGACAACCATCTCCTTCATCAGCCCAATGGAATCAACAATCTTGGTGACTACAGTTCCCAGGCAGCAGCTCTGACAATTCTACGAGCAGCTTTGCCATCCTTCTTTGACCCAGGTCTGCGTCGCGGCCCTTTTGTGTTGACATTTACTGATTTCAACCAGAGCAACTTTTTTGTGGATGAAGACTGGAATGTGACATGCATTGTGGATCTGGAGTGGATGTGCTCATTGCCTATTGAGATGTGCCGCATTCCCCCATGGCTAACAAACAAAGCTGTGGATGAGATTGCTGAACAGCCTGAAGAGTATGGTCAACTCAGACAGGAACTAGTAGATACACTTGCAGCAGAAGAAGCAAATCTGCTTGCCACAAACAAGGCGGACGCCCAGCAGCATCGTCTGTCAATGGTCATGAATCAAGGTTGGGAACTAGGAACATTCTGGTATTCTCTCGCACTTCGAAGTCCCACAGGTCTTCACGCGCTCTTCTACAAACAGATCCAGCCGAGATTTCTCCAAAAATGTCCGGAACATACAGAATTTGACAATATTGTCCCATGGTACTGGAGAACCGATTTTCTTGAGGTTGCCATCAAAAAGATGGAGGATAAGCAAAACTATGATAGGCAACTGCGAGAAGCCTTTGACCAGAATGAGGGCCCGTGACATGCTAAACAACCCAAATCATTCTGTTCCAAGCACTGGTGCCATGAGCCTCATTTCCCTTTGCCTTGACTAGTGTTGGTGTCCCCCTTGTCACAGAGTGCGGCGTCGAAAGCGTCCATCAAGGCACTTTTCGCTGCATTATCCCGGTTCTCAATTCGTTTCTTCTTTGCGGCATCGGCCGACGAGCTGAGCAGCGCCATATCTCTTCGGGTAGTTTTGACTCCATAGTTCGCCTCGTCGATTTTCGGTTCTTCGTCGTCTTGCAGTTTATTTATATGTTTATTGTCGGCCATCCTGGCATAAACTCGCTGTGTCTGCTTTGTTCGCTTGTTTTGTTTTCTATCAGCTTCAGTTCCTGCCAAATTTGTCCTGCGTTCTCCCTTGAGAGAAGTAGGCAGGGAGCAGTATATAAACCATATGTACATGCCCGGGGAAAACCGTATTCCCACTTTGTGAGAAGGTTTCAGTTCCCGTTCTTGATTTGAAACAATGATAAAGGAAGGCTGCAATATGAGGGCTGCGATGAGGGAAAGCAGTGCGGGGTTTGCGTGGCTGAATCCATGGATGTCTTGACGCTGTGTGCCCGATTGACAAGGCTACATACATCCACCATCCGGAGTCACCACTCCCCCGCCCACAAGATCGCCTGCAGGCCACAAGTGGCCGTGGCATATTCGTGCGTCCGATTTCTCTGATGCCTAACATTTGCTGATGTCAACATCCAGGTTATCGAGCCGAACAGGGCCTTATATTCACTCAACTAGTCATCAATCTTTTGCCTCTCACCCTAATACCTAGGCTACTGGCCGTTTACAATAGGGAGCTATGGGGTAACTAGTCGCAGACCTTGAAATCGGACTTGTACAAAGCGCGCCCCACAAGGTAATGATGCAGAGGGACAGCCAAGTGCCACATACCAAAGGCTATAACGAAGACCGTTTCCCAACATCTTAGTTTTGTCGAACAAGATGGCTATGGGAACCGTTAACTACCTCTGAGCTAGGCTGGACGTGGGCCAACCGCATCGCCTTGACGAGACCTACGAATACTTCAATTCTCCAATTGATTATCGAAAGTCTTATCCCAAATCGGATAATTGGAAAAGACACAGTTAATTTGCGACGGACATTTTGCGTTTAAGAATGACCCGAGACCCCGTCAACAATGTCGGTTGAAAAACTTACTAACAACATTGTTGCTGGTTTGACCAGCCTAGAAGAAGCATCAGAATTGTCCCCTGCAAAAGGTGGAATATGGCTTGAGAATCATCCTAGCAATCTTCAGGGAGAAACTGAGGCGATCCGGCAACATCTACAATACAAAATTTATGATGAAAAAGGTTGCCTTGAAGGCCTGAGGGAGCCGGCTGGATCCTAGATCTTTGTAAAGATTGAGGAACAACAACAGCCTTTCCTGCTTGGTTAATTACAAGGCACTGCACAAATGACCGAGAGTGAATATTGAAAGCGAGCTACAGGTAATGGATCCATAATATAGGAGATAGTTGACCCATAGAGTATACCGCCAATACCAGAAAACGGCCACAATTCAGTGCAGCCAATATGAATGGCGTAATCCATTCCCGGATCCGAACAAGTGCTTTTCATACAGCAATAAGTCGAGTCCGTCAACATTCGGTGTCTAAGCAATGAAAACTAAGGCCATCATTGCGGCCATAGATGGAGACAAGAGCTTCTCAACTGTGCCACAAGCACCTTTTCAACTCACACATAACCGCTATCAATCACCAAGGGTATTTTCAATCTTTAAATGGCCAATAACTCTCAAAGGTGGCCCTGTCGTCTGAAGTGTGGGTGTACTGCTTCATAAGATCTATTTTGGCCGCCCGAAGAGTCTCCATGACCTCTTCGTATTTTTCGTGCTCCGCAATGCCTTTCTCCGGCCACGAAGACCCTAAGCGTCGGCGTATATCTGCCATGGCGTCCATTCCACGTTCAGCAGATTCGGCGTCGCTTTCGATTTCCGCAACCTCGGAATCAGAAAACTCAATCGGAAATGGAATCGGGTCAGTATCCAACCTGGGCCCCTGGTTCTGCCAGTCATCCCGTATATCCAGTAGTAGGGCACGGGCATTGGCCTCTCCCACCTCAGACACCCGGCGGGAAACTTCAAGAAACACTCCGATAACCGAGTTCCTGAACATAATGGCACTGTAATGGCTTGGGTTCTTCTTCTTGACTAGACGACGCCATGCAACCATTAGGCACTTGTCCAAATAGTGCCTAGCTACTGTTGCCTTCTCCTCTCCTTGCAAGGTGCTATAGTTCTCTGGAGCTTTGGGAATCTCCAAATTATCATCGACATCTGTGGCTGGGAAATCAAAGAATAGAGGGTCCAAGGTATGATCGAATAATGGAGCGATGTAGGTTGACTGCCAATCGATAATTCCGGTGACCTCGGTTGGCCTTTCGGGATTTACAAATATGTTCTCGTCGTGGAAGTCGCTGTGCCAAATATGGCCTTTCAGAAGATTTGGGTCTTTTGGCAAAAACGTTTCAAGAACCTGCAAGTATGATTGCATCGCTGCCAACTTTCTTTCGCGATTCGGCTGGTAGAGTCCTGGCCCGTATAGAATTAGCAGCTGCTTGGGGCAGCCATGCGAGGTTTTGATAGCTTGGATTTCCCGATGGCCGATTGCCTTCCTATACTCCAGGACAGTATCCCCTAGATGATATACGTAAGCGGGGCAAAAACATACCAGCAACGCGGAGCTTACATGGACCTCGATCACAATTAGCATAGTCGCGTCCGTTCTCGAACCACTCATAGTTGGCAGCCGGGCCAACGGTGAATTTTGGATTCTGGACATGGACTCCATTTTTATCGGCATAAAGATAGTCTTCAGGTGAAACGTGGACATCCTCTGTGTAGTAAAGGCTTCCGAGGCGTGAAAATGAGACCGATGACCACGTTCTTTGATAATCGAAAACCTTCAGGAGCACTTTCAGCTTGTCGGTTTCTTGCAATCGTCGCCATGCTTCAGCCAAAGGAATCCCTTGGATCTTCTCCATGATGATATATTCAACTCCCACAGTATTGTCCCGACCGCTTTTGGAATTCCAGGCATAAACATGTGGGATTGGGGTATTGAGGACAGTTCGCATCTGCCAAGGATAATCAGTTTAACGAAATAGCGCAAGAGGGAATGGCTTTGTAAAAAAGGGAACAAAATCTTTTACAAAGTCCATGGTTGCAACTTCGCTCGCAGTTGTAAAGTGAGCAGTGCCAGCATTTGGGTTGGGAACTTTCCCAACAACTTGCTGTCCATCATCCATTGTGAATACAAATGCTTTGTTGTACAGGCCATCAGCACACTTTTCAATATTGATACATTGCTTAGCACCAACGGACTGGGTTGCTATTCGAGATAGCTCATTCATATTAAACCGGACATGCCTCTGTTGTGCCTGCTCTACTTCGTTGAAGACAAACCGTCCGCGAGTGTAACTGAAAAACTCCTCATTCGAGTTCCAATCTGTCGAGGGTCAGCTACCTGTTCTCAACCGTGGATCATGGCCGCTTACCCTTTGTGCATATTGCTGTCGTGCGGGTTGAACTAGCAAAGAACACCCCGAATTTGCTGAGATGTCGGGGGGCTTTTGTGGACAGCATTTCAGAGACAGGTTAGGATATAATCTGCTGATAAAGGTGTAAGCAATGTTCCTCTTCTCGACCTTGTTTGAAGAGCTGCAATCACCATAATTGTGGCAATCTGCTCCATGGATGTAGTTCAACCTGCTGGGTGATGAACTTGAGAGGTTTCTCTCGCTTGTATCAGCCCGTACGACTAAATTTACCACTAGTGCTACTTTGGGGCGGGAGCGGGCGGCTCCGGCGCTTAACTAACTTAGTTTTATAGTTACTTGCGTGTGATTGGCTGGCTGTTCGGTGGATCATGCAATTTGGCCACAACCTGGAAGATGTACCTACCTTTTTCCATTGCTGAATATAGAATGAAGAAGAAACATCTTCCGTTGTAAATCCTTAGGGATGGCAAGCATAACTTAGACAGTTGGTACTTATTTAAAAGGCACCGGCCTCAGGAAACAGGACTATGCACCTGGTTGAGAGTAGAGATTTGCCCCATTCGGTCCTCATATGCCCTAAAAATACACAATAGGAATATAGGTTTTCTGCAATAGGAATGATCGGAATGAGCCCCCGGTGCTTAGCGATCGAGAGCCTGTGATTTGCACTATTCCCACGCCAAATTAGCAAGATCTGAATAGGGGTGTTTCGTTGTAGGAAATAGATTGATAGTTTGCAAATGTCAAAAACCAAGTGGGGCCTCACCATCTCGAAATAGACACCTTGTCTCCGTATTAACGACCTATGATCGCCGTACTCTACAATCCCCGATCCCTTGGTGCACTCCCTCTTTCCCCACCGCCCTGTGTGGAGCTCTCCAAAAACAAAAATGACATCAGCATTCTGCACCGTCGCCAGCCGATGAGCCACAACAACAATTGTTCGTCCTTTAGCTGTTCGTTCTATTGCAGCTTGCACCAGTTTCTCCGATTCCGAATCGAGGCTGGACGTTGCCTCATCTAGGAGGAGCACTTGTGGGTTTCGAAGAAGTGCACGAGCGATTGAAATCCGCTGTTTTTGTCCGCCAGATAGAGAGAGACCCCGATTTCCCACGTCGGTAGCATATCCTAGCATTTCGGTTATTTTTAGGATACCAGGTATAAGTAGGAGTTTCTTCCTTACCGTCTGGCAAAGATTGGATGAATTCGTGAATTTCGGCATCGCGACACGCTTGGTAAACTTCTTCATCCGTCACTGTCGCTGGGTCGACGCCAAGCATGACATTATCACGAATAGAACCTAAGTGGCAGTTAGTTCATGATGATTTATCAAAGATCAAAGTCGCGGTCGTGACGTACCTTGGTACATTGTCGGATCCTGAGACACTAAAGATAGCCCTCGGCGATAACGGTTGATCTCCAAAAGACGTAGGTCTATCCCATTGATAAATATACCGCCGTGCTGGTAATCATAAAATCTATCCGCCGCAGTTAAGAAGCCGAGTCGTGAATTTTAACAAGCTAGAATGAACCCACCTCTCGAGAAGGGAAATGATCGAAGTTTTCCCACAACCTAAGCATTCATCAACAGAGGGTTAATCCTCGCCCCAGGAAAAGGTAGCATACCGGAAGGACCAACAAACGCCGCAAACTGCCCCTTTTCGATCTAACTACGGGTGAGAGTGAATCCACATGATAAACGTTATTTATGGACATACGGTAAAACTAAGATCCTTGAACACAGGCAGATCGCGTGTTGGATATTTGAAGCTCACGGATCTGAACTCTATCTTGGCACCGCCGTCGAGCTCAACCACAGAGCCTGGTGCTTTCGAATCATCGTGACCGGGGGAGGTCCTGAGACTTATGATCCTGTTTGCGGCCTCTGATGCCTGCGCCATGTCTTTGTTTACGTTAGAATGTTCCACGTGTAAGGAAAAAGAGGACGCGATTGTTTGGGGTTAGGCATACTAGGAGTCAAACTTCCAAATTGACCAGAAGCTTGTCCACCCTATGAAGATTGTCAGCCAAATTCGAAAATATGGGAACAAAATTGGTCATTTATACCAAAATAATAGCGGTAAAAACAACGAAGAATTGAACCACATCGTATTCGCCGCGTGCCAAAAGTTGGCCCCCATACCTTTAGGAAATTCAAGATCAGCAATCAAGGCTAAAGCACTATACAAACATACATACCAGAAGCACAATGCCATACATCCGAGGTCCAAACTATCGGCTGCGGCAAACACCAGACATCCGTGCCTCGCCTTTAAGAACGCCGCTCGGACCTGATTTTGAAGAAGGTCTGAATACCTCTTGTTGATTGAATCTTCAAGCGTGAGCGATGTAACGGTACGGAATGCGCCTATTGCTTCAGTTGCAAATTGCGCACTCTCCGCGAAGACAGCATTGTTCAGTTTCTCAAATCGAAGCTCATACCTAGATCTAATAAAGACGGCAAGAATGAGAATTGGGTAAGCCGAAAACACTGAAACAATGGTCAGCTTCCATCCGAAAGCAAAGGATATGGCAATGCATCCAATGATATTGAATAAGGAAATCAAAGGGAACGCCATGTACGGTCCTAGAAGTTCTTGCAATTGCGTTGGGTCAGAGGACAGCCGCGCTGTTAATGCTCCTGTCGAATTTTCCTCTTTGTCGAAGAAAGGAATTGGCTTATGAATGATGCCTTCAAAATATTGCTGGCGATAAATAGTGGCTATGTGCTGCAGAGAGCCATTAGTGAAGCGTGGATCCATCAGAACAAGCCCACTTACTGTTGATACCGACACGGAGGAAAAGCCGAGTAAAAAGTAGAAAAAGAACACCGCGATGGCGAGGATAAAAAACATCAGGGCCCAGAAATCTGCACGGTTCAGCAACTCCGACCCAGTGAGTTGAAACGTCTGGATAAGATGCGCAAAAATAAAGCTCTGGACTGAGAAACCAGCTACAAACAAGTTAGTCTCAGGTTGCCGTGTGGATATGCCTTTGTGCCTACCGCCGCATCCAGCAGCTCCAACTATGATCGACAGATATAGCAACGACAGTCGTCTCTGTTCCCAAAGAAACAACCCTACAGAATTGATAAGGGATTTGGGCTTGATGCTTTCTTCACCGACCTCAAGGATGTCATTTTCCGCTCTTTTCTCACTTATTGCCTTAGAAAGGACCGGGTCTGAAACATCTTCTTCGACTCGCTCAGGCGAGCTGGGGTCACCTTCCATTTCAAGCTGCTGGTTCATCACGAGGTCGTAGTACAGTCCTTCCAATGACAACAGCTCCTCGTGTGTGCCCTCTTCCATTGCCTGTCCAGCTTTCAGCAGAATAATCTTATCGGCTTTCTTGATAGTAGACAAACGGTGTGCAATGGTAATAGTAGTGCGGTTCTTCGACACACGATCTAATGCCTCTTGGACAATACGCTCACCACGCACGTCGATTGAACTCGTCGCCTCGTCAAGAACGAGTATTGCAGGTCGTTTGATAATACTCCTAGCTATGGCGAGTCGCTGCCGTTGGCCACCGCTAAGTTTAATACCATTCTCGCCAACCAGCGTATCATAACCCTAAAAAACCAGGTCAGCTTCGAGAATGGGAACATACAAACACGCCACAGACCTGTGGAAGCCTATCAATGAACTCGTCAGCAAACGCTTCATGGCACGCCTCTTTTACTAGCTGTCGCTTTATCGTCTCGTCCTCATTTTCCCATTTCGATCCAAACAAACCGTATGAGACATTTTGATAAATGGAAGCGTTGAAGCAAAAGGGTTCCTGCTGGACGAGGCCAATCTGTGACCTCCACCACTTGAGATCTAGATCAATGATATTTGTGGTATCAAGAGATATAAATCCAGCATTTGGTGCGATCGTATCGACAGCAACAGATTGATCTTCGTCGCTATTTTTCGAATTTTGTTCGGCAGTTGAGATCTTAAGGGGCTCAAGCACATCGTCCAGTTGGTACCAACGCTCTAGAAGTCCAACGATTGTGCTTTTGCCACACCCGGAAGGGCCAACTAGGGCTGTAATCTTGCCGGCAGGAATTCGTAGGGAGAGGTTATTCAATACCTTGACACTCGGCCGACTTGGATAAGAGAAGGTGACGTTGTTCAGTTTGATATCCTTTGTGGCAGAAACTTCTGGCTCCCTCAAGCCTGACGATGATGGACTGGGCTTGTCCAGGACTTCAAAAAAAGCCTCCGAGGCACCGATCGCCTTTGTTATAGCCATGATCGGAGACGCAATTGACGAGACGGCAGAAACAACAATAAGGACAGAAAATATAACGCTAAGAAATGCTTGTCAGTCCAAAGCAGACGTAGTGCGAGGAAACGTTTCCACTCACATGACAACCTCGCCAACATCTTCAACGTTACCTCTAGAATATTGCCTTATCCCAAACCAAAAGGTCAATGCAAAGTTGCAATACAAGGCAAAGTGAAGAGGGCTTAGGTGAATTCCCATGACGGGGGATATTCGCAAACCCCTCCGCCTAGCCTCAGCCATCCATCCTGCGTATCTTGATCCTAAACGGTCTTCCGCGCCGCAGGCTACAATTGTTCTCATAGTTCCCAAAGCCTCACCCGCAATTGACGAGGCTTTCTCGTTGGCGAAGTCAACTTTTTTTTGCAGCTTCATAAACAGAGGAACCGTTATAGAAAGAAGAAGTAGTAGGAATACTAACGCAGAGCTCGAAACTAGCGTCAGCGACCAAGAATAACGGAAGGCGACAACGTATGCGGCGATAACCAAGGTCAGAGACTGCACTAGAATCGAAAGCTTGTCACCGATCCCCGCTTGAATCAAGTTTGCCGATGTTGTGATGGTCGTTGTGGGCCGCCCAACTGGAAGCTTATCAATGAAAGAGATACGTTGTTGGAACAAGGCAGAGACATATGCGAGTCGCAACCTTGCAGAGATCCTCAGGCCAGCCATGCGAATGCAGAACTGTAATTATATTAATAGGTATATGGTGAGAATACCGCTGAAGCCAGGGGAACCAACCACAGATACATAGTTCAGCACGAACTTGCCAATAAATAAATAGACGATATATAGCCTAGATATCAAAGAACAGGCTTAATAGATAGTTCAGGGGACTAAACCCAAGGCTCCTGGATTCCAAGCAGTGAATCAGAATGTAGGAGGCGGAGGACGTACACATTGCGATTAATCGACCGTAGAAACTCGTCTTTCGTGGGTCCTGAGTTGGGCATGAAAAAGCTGTTGAACTCCGCAGCCAGTTGACCTTGATGCTTTCAGTTCGCTACTACGGCAAAAGAGGCGCCTCGCCTTCACTAACCACTTATAATGTTCATCAACGGCAACGCCTACGGCATGAGCGTCAGCCATTATTGTTCGTCATACTCGGCAGCTAGCAGTCACATACAATACCTGTCCCGGCCGCACAAAGCGCAGCAACGCCCATGAGGATGAAATCCAGTTTGGAGCCATACGAAAGTATTTTCTGGGCGAACCGTGTTAGTTACAGGGCTAAAAACAACTTCAACACAAATGCACACCCAGAAATTCCTAAAAGGGGGTCTCTGCTCCGGCTCCTGAGCGGCGGAATCGCCAGGCGACTCGTGAGAAGCGGACGCCATCCAGTGAGAGATGGCAAGCCCTCAAAATTGCAAATAGCGACGGGAAATGGAAGAGATCTCAGTCGGTTCAAGACATTTTGTTGACTTGAATCCCCAAATTCCTGAATTTTGGCAATGGTGATCTGCTTCGGAGGGTCTCAGGCAACAAGATAAATTGCCAAGTCTGCTAGTCAGCTTGAAATTGCCTAGCCAGAAGTGCCAATCTCTCTCCTGGACTGGGAGGATCCTCTCAATGAGTATTTCGTACTCGGGATCATTGAATAGCTCTGCAAACATCTGGGACCGGGACCGGCAATCACTGATCCCGAGACCATGCCCCGTGCATCTGCTCTGGATGGCCAGCCTGGGGGACAATGAGTCATCAGCGGGAGATCCTGGTTGACAAGTATAACCCACGGGGCCAATCAGCCAGAATCAGAACAGCACAGGGCGCAGGTGTCTCTGCCCTCGAGACCAGAGGTGCAAGAGCAGCAAGCTGTTAATAATGAGGTGCGATGTGAGATGCTGGGCCAGCATCGACCGCCTTACCGCTTTTGGCAGAAGCCGGCGCCAAGATATTTCGGATCGATATAATTCCGCTGGCTTACTAATTAGCAAAGCGCTAACTGTATCCGGAGCTACTAATGTTTTCTATCTTGCACCCGGCGGGCATTCCCGCTGGCAGCCCTGATCAAGAGCTGTTATTATGGTCATAAGAACCCGTCTACTGATATTATCCAAGGAATGTACAGCTACGGAATAGTTAGCGCAGATATCTATATAGATCACACACCTACAATCCCAGCCTTGCACCCGGGAAGCTCCCCCATGCTTCTCTTCCCCGCCCCTCGGCTATAACCGGGGGGATCCCACGGCCGGCTTGCAGCACCACGAGGAGCCCACCGACATCCAAGCGAGACCATCCCGTCGGCAAGAACAAAGCTTTATACGGCCTCACACTGTCCCTGCGTTGCTTGTCTCTTTCTGCCTGAACTTGGCCGCAAGCCATTATCCGTTCCAGCCATGACCGTTGTCCCCCTCAATGGCCCTCTGCGGAGGCTCATCTCCATCTCCCCGAAATCTACCTTGTACTTTTCCAAACGGACCTTTGCGACAACCTTGCCTCGAGATGCCGATTGGGGCTTCATTGGTCTAGGTCAGATGGGTATGTCGCGGTGCGCCTGGACACTGGCATCAGACGCTTCGTATCAGCTAACTCTGACCCTCATCCGCAAGGCTATCCCATGGCGAGAAACCTCCGGGCAAAGATTCCCGAGTCCGATACCCTCGTTATCTGCGATGCCAACCCTGAATCAACGCAAAGATTTGTTGCAGAACACTCTAATCAGCGAGTAGAGGTCGCTTCAAATCCTCGCGAAGTGGCAGAGAAAGCGGTCAGTTGTGAAAACCCCCCGCCGCAAACAGCATTCTCCTGCAACTTGTACAGTGCACGATATCAATTCAGCACACCCCTTTCCGCTCCCCTCCCAATACTTTAAAAAACAGCCTTGCTGGCCTTCAGCAACCCGGGGCTAACCTCTTCGCGCTAGGGAACGGTCATAACCAGTCTTCCTGAGCCCCAGCATGTAAAGGGGGTCTTCCACACCATCCTTAAAAACGGTCTGCCAAAACTGACAAAGGAACGTCTCTTCATTGATTGCTCGACAATCGACCCGATTTCCTCGCGGGAAGTCGCAAGCGCGGTCCATTCAACCGGTGCCGGTCGATTCGTCGATGCGCCCATGTCGGGCGGTGTGGTTGGTGCCACCGCAGGAACGCTCACCTTTATGGTTGGCGCCTCATCCAAGGTTCCAGGCTTGGTACAAGAGGTAGAAGATGTCCTCCTGTTGATGGGCAAAAAGATGTGGCTCCTGGGTGAACAAGGAGCTGGCCTTTCCGGAAAACTGGCAAATAACTATCTCCTTGCCATCTCCAACATTGCCACCGCAGAAGCCATGAATTTAGGAGTCAGATGGGGACTAGATCCCAAAGCCCTTGGCCAAATGATAAATTCATCCACCGGCAGATGTTGGTCCAGTGAAGTGAACAACCCAGCTCCCGGTGTCATCGAGACTGCGCCAGCTTCGCGCGATTATTCCGGAGGATTTGGCGTTAGTTTGATGAAAAAAGATCTCAGACTCGCCGTCGAAGGGGCAAGGGAGGCCGGAACCCACTTAGAACTGGCAGCCAAAGCGCAGGAGGTCTATGATGCCACAGAGGCTGCCCATCGGGGGAAGGACTTTTCCGTTGTATATCAGTACTTGAAAGACCACTCAAATTAGACTGTGCATTAAAATATGATCCCATCCCTGTAGATCAATGCTGTCTCCTCTTGACGGATGCCGAATTGATTGCCCTATACTTCAGTGGCCTTTGATGTCTGGATGATGATGTTATTATTTTGTTCATCCTTTGATGAGTTTGTGTTGAGTTGCGTCACTTCGCACAGCCCAGAACCAAAGAAACCCGTCGCAACCGCTAAGTTAACTAACTAGCCATCCCAACCACTCTACCTACAACAACACACTCTCCTGTCATCATGGAACTTACATGATTGACAAGCTGACATAGTGCTGAATAGAAGATGCTGCATATCAGGGGTTATCTCCCGACAGCGTCATCACTAGCCAGCAAAGCCCATCGCTTCTACAAAAGCACCTCTTGAACCACTAGTTAGCTATTTATCGCATCACAATGGCTTATATTGTCCCCCTACATCATGCTAGCAGCATTAGCAATGCTATTACACTACAGTTCATGAAGCCAGGGGAGGATTGTTTGGTTATTGCGTATGGATAAGCGCCCGCTACCCTCCTGCAACGGCCTGCGTTGCTTGCGCGCAAGGAACGGAAGCTAATCAACCACCGCGTCGCCTTTATGGGTGCTAGGAAATCGAATCGTCTTGAGCTCTACACGAAAGCACCCGATGGCCTTGCCCTAAAATATTCCAAAGCTGTCTATGGAAAAATCTCCGTCCTGCAAAAACTCCCGCGCCCCAATCCTTCCGAGACAGATCTTCTTTTCGTCGGTACCGACCGAGATGCATACTTTACGTTGTCTTGGAATTCAGCTACTGGTCAGCTGCATACCGAGCAAAAGTATGTGGACATGGCGGACCCTTCATTGCGAGATAGCCAGAGCGGGGACCGATCATGGGTCGATCCCTCCGGGAAGTTCCTGACGCTCGAGATATACGAAGGTATAATTACAGTCATACCTATTGCTCAAGAGCCGTTGAAGCGTTCATCGTTATCCGGTCCTTCGCTCGGGCCACCCAAGGAGCGGGCTCATCTAGGAGAACCCGTTCAGGCCAGGATCGAGGAACTCGCAATTCGATCTACCGCATTTTTGCACCAGGATTCATCACGGGTCCCGCGGATAGCAATCCTTTATGAAAGTACGGACGGCAGAGTAAAACTAAAATTGCGAGACCTGATATACACGAGAGGGGTTGTTAATGGTGAAGCCAGCGTTGCGGAATTCCACAACGTAGATGAACTTTACGACAATTTAGAGCTCGGAGCTGAGATTTTAGTCCCTGTCCCATTGCCCCTTGGTATGTTATTCCCTCGACGCCCTTTGTAGTACTTCATTTATCTCCATTTATTGATCGGCATGTACAGGCGGCATCCTTATCCTTGGTGAAAAGTGTATCAAGTATGTTGATACAATCTCAAACGAAACCATTACACTGCCCTTGGAATACAATACTGTGTTTGTAGCCTGGGAGCAGCTAGATAATCAAAGGTGGCTGCTGGCAGACGACTATGGGCGACTGTTCTTCCTGATGTTGGTGCTGGACTCTGCAAATGCGGTTAGGACCTGGAAGGTTGACTTGCTTGGAGAGACATCTCGCGCATCGGTCCTTGTCCATCTCGGTGGAGGAGTGGTGTTCCTAGGCTCTCATCAGGGAGATTCCCATGTCATCAGAATCACCGAGGGTTCTTTCGAGATAATCCAGACTCTTTCCAATATCGCCCCCATCCTTGATTTCACGGTAATGGATTTGGGACATCGCGGAGATACACTGACACACGAATTTTCCTCTGGGCAAGCCCGAATTGTAACCGGATCTGGAGCCTTTCATGATGGAAGTCTAAGGAGCGTCCGAAGCGGAGTTGGCATGGAAGATTTAGGAGTTCTGGGTGCAATGGAACATATCACCGATTTATGGGGACTATCTGCCTTTTGTGCGGAAGAGAACTGTGACACTCTCCTCTTAGCCTTTGTGAATGAATCAAGGGTGTTCCATTTCTCACCTGATGGGGAGGTGGAAGAGAAAGACGAGTTCCTCGGCCTATTGTTGGGAGAAACCACCCTTCATGCCTCCAATCTTGCTGGTTGTCGCATATTGCAAGTGACGGAGCGCACAGCCAGGATTACAGACGTGGAAAGTGAACTGGTAATATGGCATTGGTCTCCGTCTGGCCATCAAAAAATCACTGCCGCTGCCGTCAATGAACAGTATTTGGTGTTGATGATCGGTGGCCAGGAAGCTGTCATATTCGACATCGCTAGCGATATTCAAGTATCTGGGCCAAAAACCTTCAAAGCTAACAAACAAGTTTCTGGTGTCACTCTCACTTCGTCGCCTGCTCAAGCCTGCATTTTCTGTTTTCCTCAATCGGCAGAAATCAGTATTGTGAATCTCACCGATTTGACCATTCGGCATACCGAAACTCTGGGAGAGCCAGGAGATGCCGTTCCACGATCGGTGCTGGTAGCCAATATGATTCCGAGCAAACCACCGTCTCTTTTCGTTTCAATGGCCGACGGGAGCGTTTTTTCATTTTCCCTCAACGCTGAAGATTATTCGCTGTCAAATGCTAACAAGCTTGTCCTTGGGTCAGAGGCCCCAGTATTCAAATTGCTTCCCCGGGGAGATGGTCTCTTCAATGTCTTCGCAACTTGTGACCATCCTAGTTTGATATATGCATCTGAGGATAGAATCGTGTACTCCGCCGTTAATTCGGACAAGGCAACTCGCATTTGTCATTTCAATGCAGAGGCATATCCGGGTGCAATCGCAGTTGCCACTCCTGATGAAATTAAAATCGCTCTCGTGGATGCAGAGCGTACCACCCAGATACAAACATTGATGATCAATGGGACCGTCCGGAGGATAGCCTATTCCGCGGCAGAACGGGCTTTTGGACTTGGAACTGTTCGAAGATCCCTAGTACAAAACGCGGAGGAGGTAAAGAGCTATTTTATTCTTTCAGACGAAATAATGTTCCGCCAGTTGAGTGTGTTTGACCTAAACTCGAATGAACTTGTCGAGTGTGTTATACGTACGGAGCATCCCGCTTTCAACGGTCAACAAAACAACGGCCGCCCGAAGGACATCTTCATCGTCGGTACCTCAGTATTAGACCCGGCCGAGGCACCGGAAAGTCAAACAAAGGGTAGAATCCTCATATTCGACGTCGGTGTTAATCGAGAGTTACGAATGGTATCGGAATTCCCCGTCCGAGGCGCATGCAGAGCGCTGGCCATGGTGAATGGTAAAATTGTCGCGGCGCTTATGAAAAGTGTGAGTGGATCCAATCTATATTCCAATCATGTTGCTAAAGCTTCAAACAGGTTGTGATTTTAAGTATGAAAAAGGGCAATTCTTATAGCATCGATATAGGGAAAGAATCGAGCTATCGGACATCCACGGCGCCTGTCGACCTCTCCGTCACAGATAACATCATTGTTGTCGCGGATCTGATGAAGAGCATCTCGCTTCTTGAGTACCAGGCCGGGGAAGCAGGACAGCCAGACAGCTTGAAAGAAGTAGCACGCCATTACCAGACATTATGGACAACAACGGCAGCCCCAATTGCAGAAAACGCGTTTCTCGTAAGTGACGCGGAAGGAAATCTAGTGGTTCTGAATAGAAATACAACCGGTGTGACAGAGGATGATAAACGTCGGATGCAAATAACTAGCGAATTGCGGTTGGGCACAATGGTCAATAGGATTCGTCGTATGGATCTCCAAGCCTCTCAGTCGTCTCCAGTGATTCCCAAGGCTTTCTTGGCTACGGTATGCGTATATCCGAGTACCCTGCGATTCCCTATTGACTTGCGCTTTGCTAATGCTAATTTGCACAGACTGATGGCTCCATCTACCTATTTGGAGTCATTGCCCAGTTTGCCCAAGACCTTCTAATGCGCCTCCAGTCTGCTCTCGCCAGCTTCGTTGCGAGTCCCGGCGGGATACCCTTCAGTGGGTACCGGGCGTTCAAAAGCGCGACACGTCAAGCTGACGAGCCATTTAGATTTGTGGACGGGGAACTTGTTGAGCAATTCTTGGACTGCCCGTTAGAAGTCCAAGAAGCTGTTCTAGCCAAGATGGATGGCGGTGGAAGGGATGTGACTTTATCGCAACTAAAAGATATTGTTGAAAGATTAAAAAGGATGCATTAGATGGACCGAATTTAGTGATGCAGACACCATAAAACAAGTAGCAAATGTACTGTATAGGCGGAACTGAATGATATACAGGCTTTTGGGGGAGGCCTATGAGTTGGTCGTGTATGCTAATACCTTACATACGTGTATGCTAGCCGTGATGCGATACGCAAGTTGTTGGTTCAGCGCACGGTAGCGACGATTATCCCGCTCGATATAGTCCTGCTTATTTCCCTTGTGTTCACTGTTCGGGAGTACGTTACAAAGCCAAGCAATTCTATCTGGCAAGTAACGCCTCTCATCAAATTGTAGCGGATAGGTTCGGTTTCGATTTTCCCCTGGGATCTCCCTCTCTGGCGAAAACCAAGCACGATGTGCCCCAGATTTCGTAACATCGAAGACTGTTTTGCTGTAGATATAGCCCCCAAATTTCTCTCAACCTTCCTCGTCGTCAATGCCGCCCTCAGATGTCCGTATCCCGCGGGGAAGTGTTTCCACTGCCATCGCCGGCATTCGCTCTCTCTTGCTTGCGCCTCTTATGCGCCGGCTGATTTGCGGTACTGGTTCTGTCCTGCAGTCGCTTTGATTCAGCCTCGTTTCCAAGTTTATCCATGTAAGATCGTAGAACGGATTCCAAACCAGAATTCCGCCTTCCGAGGAGCAGGACATCCGATGGCTGGATTTGGGCATGCCGACCGTGCCTATTGAGTGAAGAGCAGGCTGCGTTAACGTTGTAAAGAGCTGGGATAAAATAGAGACGGCTATGAACAGGACAGAGTGTACCTTGCAAACATGATGATGTCCTCGGTTGTCTCGGCTGGCTCTCAGTTAGAACGGAACGCCAAACCAAGTAAACGAAGAGAGCCATGCGCACCTATACGGTCCCATACCATCTCTGTCATGGCAATGACGAACTGCTGGGTAAGATCGACATCCGCCTCATCGGCCTGATCACGCACCATTCGGCGGAGAGCTTTCCACAGCTCGGCTTTCAGTCGCTAGTTAGTGACCAAGTCGGGTCAGCGAAGACGGACATCAAGTCAGAGGGAGCGGCCAGCTAACGCGATCTTCAAGCTGCTGTTCTTCAAGCTCATTTGACGCCATTATTTCAATACGGAGATTGATTGCGTTGCCTGAGACAGTCCATCATTGATGTTGACGTATTGCAGTGAGCAAACTAAACGTGAAATCGGAGGTGAGCTCGCCCAGGCTGAGCCCCGAATGCTTGGCGAAGTCACGTTTAGTTAGTTAACTAACTAACTAGCGCGCGCATGCCGTACGCGCGCTTAACTCGCTAAGCCTCGAGCCCAAAATTTCCTCCAAACGCCTCTTCTGATCGCCGGCGATGTTTGTGTTCGCTCGATCTCACACCCTTCCCTTCAGATACCGTCTGGTTAGTTTGCTACACGCCCCTACCGCATAACTGACGATTAACCCTCCTAAAAGTCTCCCGCCACCATGTCCGACTACCCCATCCTCGCCGTTTTGCAGACCTGGTGCGGCAATTTTACGACCAACGTGTCCAGCTCCATCTCCAATCTCACAATCCGCGACTACATTCGGCTGGTATGGATAATTGGGGGATACCTCTTTCTCCGGCCGTATCTTGACAAAGGATTTCGGAAAATGTTCGAAAGGGGAGCAGCGAAATCCGAAAAAGAAGAAGCGGACGCTGAAGCGGATCAAATGATGCCAACATCGAACCCGAACCTTTTACGCGATGGCAGAGACCAAGAGACTGAAGATGAAGACGAAGGCGATTCGTCCGCAGTTCCACAATGGGGGAAGAGTGCCAGAAGGAAACAGAGGAAGTTCATGGAATACCTAGAGCAAGAGGCAGAAAGGCGCAAGGAAGAAGACGACGATAAAGACATCGCCGACTTGCTAGAGGATTAGCTTGGGCCTCGCTGGGCTTGTACGACTTGATCGTTAATAGGATGGTGCTGTGCGTCCAGTTTCTTCTTCGCTTCAGACCAGATGGTGGGCTAGCATCCCATTTTGCAGCACAGCGGGCACGGGTCATGGATTCCAACTCCATTATCATCCTGTCGGAGCCGCTTAAAAACCTGGACGACGATGACAAGTATCCCCTGCCCTTCTATAGAATTTAAAGGAATAATGTTTTCGATATAATGATGTCTATTTTCCCTTCCTTCCGAACAGAAATGACGATTCTCGGGACCTGGGCCTAGGCGGCTTTCGGCAGAGCTTCTAATAACCATATGGCTGCCTGCAATACTGATATCCCGGTGCGAGCGAATCATATTTGGACACCCAACGCTCTTACTAGCAGAGTTTCAGCCTCATGGTCGATATCTGGTTACTTCTGACTAAGTGCACCACAGAGTCCTGCTCCAACATAATCGGCAGCGGCAGGCAAGTTTGACATCATAGATGGGAAGAAGCAACCATGGGTGAAGCAGTGGCGCTTTCTGGCCGAATGCATCGATAAGAGAGAGAGTCTCAAGGAGCGAAAAAGTTAGCAACAAGTATCCCGTCAAAATCAACTCTTACCCCATCATCCCCTATCACTATATTCTTCATTGAGCCCCCATTTTTATCATCAAGCTACGAAATACAACGACAGCATATTGCTCCAGAATTTAATCGACTCTTGCGGCACCTTTGCTGGGAGCTAGCCATGTCCGTTGCCAACTCCATTCGCGCCACCAATTTTATTTTGAGACTTCTTCAGTTATGCGTCTCAGTTATTGTCTTGGGCATATTCTCTTATTTCCTCGCTGTTCTGGCAGACCATGAGCTACCAATTCAAAGATGGATAAAGGCCGTCGAGGGCATATCAGGGGCCGCTACTTTCTACACCCTTTTGGCTTCTATCTTCACCCTTAGCATCGGCGGTGTTCCGTTCTTTGCAGGTTTGGCTATGATTCTTGACTTCTCCTTTACCGCCGCCTTTATCGCCATTGCCATCATGGCCCGAAATGGCACACAAACGTGCTCTGGAAATGTCAATACCCCGATCGGAAACGGTGACGCAAATCAACCCGCTGGAGGTTACGGACTTTTCAATATCGTTGTGATTCATCAAAGGCTGCTTTAGCCATTGCGCAAGCAGTCGGCCACCGACAGGAGTTTTGCAGTGGTTCAAAAGACCGTATAAACTCATGCTTTTGGCCCCATCACGCGGGCCAGGCATTAGATTTAAGGCCCTAAGCGCAGCTGAATCCAATTTCATGTACTGGGAGAGATCGTGCTGGTAGAGTTGATATTGGCCAAAGTTCGACGGATCCGACATGGCACCGAGATATTTGATTAAAGCCGCAGCAGACCCCATAGCCAGTTTCAAATCAGTTTGTGGTAAAGTTCCGGTAGCATGCTCGTTTTTCAGCAGCCTCGCTAGGTCCTGATCAATATCCCTCGTCGCAAAGTCCGATGCTGGCCTGCTTGAAATCGCAATCCCACAACTATCCGCAATAGACCTTATCTTGGCTAGTTCGATATCTTTCTTTTGTCCGTCCGCAGTAACCAGGCATTCTTTAACTCCCAATTGAATGACCAAGGATTCAAAGTTCGAATAGAGGTCGTTAT